AAAAAAAAAAAAAAAAAAAAAAAAAAAAGAATTGTACTGAGATACACAAACTTTTTTTCAGCAGAGGATCTGTAATCACAAAACAGCTTTCACAAGTCTATGTTTCCAGTGTATGAGAAACAGAGCCCCCATTTATCTTCTCTTTACTTTTTTTCTTATTCCACCGCTGTGAAATTGTCCTCCTTTGCCTATCAGTATTTTAGTAAGATGAGATATGCTTTCATTTATAAATGCAAAACACATACATTCTCCTGTGTCAAAAATAGAGTCTGGGGGGCTTCCCTGGTGGCGCAGTGGTTGAGAGTCCGCCTGCCGATGCAGGGGACACAGGTTCGTGCCCCGGTCCGGGAAGATCCCACATGCCGCGGAGCAGCTAGGCCCGTGAGCCATGGCCACTGAGCCTGTGCATCCGGAGCTTGTGCTCCGCAACGGGAGAGAACACAACGGTGAGAGGCCCGCGTACCGGAAAAAACAAAACAAAAAAAACAGAGCCTAGGGCTTCCCTGGTGGCGCAGTGGCTGAGAGTCCACCTGCCGATGCAGGGGACGTGGGTTCGAGCCCTGGTCCGGGAAGATCCCACATGCCGCGGAGCAACTAAGCCCGTGTGCCACAACTACTGAGCCTGCGCGCCTAGAGCCCGTGCTCCGGAACAACAGAAGCCACCACAACGAAGAGTAACCCCCGCTCACCGCAAATAGAGAAAGCTCACGCACAGCAATGAAGACCCAATGCAGCCAAAGATAAATAAATGAATAAGATTTAAGAAAAAAAAAAAAGAATCTAGGGCTATTTATTTCAATTACCTCATCTGAGGTCAGGCCCCCACACCTATGGTTACCATTATAAGGACCAAATATATATTTCTCAGCAGCTGCACCTGGGAAATCATCTGTCCGCGCCTCACCGGCCAGAGCTCAACAGATCTGACCACCTGGTCGTTTGAAGCTTCTTCCAGCAAAAAATTCTGTGATTCTGTTTTACAACACCCGAAGACCAAGAAGCGACCCTAGTGATCTCAGGAAGCCTATCTCTGCCTCCACTTATGAGCCACGACAGGAGGCAAGTGGCCAAAAGGAAGGAGGGCCGGATAAAAGGAAGCAGACAGAAAACCGACGGTCATGTCGGCAGCTAAGCACACCATGTGGGCCCCTGACTGCCTTCCAAAGCCAAATAGAAATACCATGTCACTCACTGGTCAGCCACAGTTCTCCTCTCCCGCTACCACTTGGTATGAAAAGATGGGAAGCTGATGGTGAAGTCTGTGCTCAAAGAAGCAGCTGGTAAACTCTGATTTCAAGAGAAAATGGATTTGGAATGGTCAAAGCATCTGTGGCAAGTATTTTTTAAATTGCGTGACTGTTGTACGAAAGATACTTGCTAAGGAATTTTCACCACAGTCATTAAAATCGAGAACAAGAGAAGATTCCCAAGGGCTAAAAGGCTTACATTCCTAAATGGTGCTGGCTGGAAAGTGGCACAGCTATGACAGAGGGGACCTGCCCCAGCCCCAGGGTGGCTGCCCAGGGCATCTCTGGAAGCACTGACCGGTCTCTGCTGGCTTTGCATGAGAACCCGGCATATAAGCTGAATTAGTATCATCATTGTCAAAAAGATTATTCTAATTCTGGTCGAATGATCCTAATCTAAAAATTTTATACTCAGAAACTTTGTTCTGTGCTGGTCTTTAGATCTTATTATTTAAAGGTCACCCCTGTATCCTCTCTTCCCTCTGAAGATCTTTCATCAAACTCTGACCAAAATCACAATAAAATTCACACATCAGCCATTTAATCGCTAATCCTTCTTCGACCACAATTTTAAGAATTTTTTTAAAAGGAAAAGTTTTAATGAACATAATAAATGTGGGCTTTTTTTTTCCTAATGTTTGAGCAATGAGCTACTGTTATTTTTGTCATCTAATGAAACAATAATAGTCTGCATGCAGTGTTTCGGAAGTAGATAGAAATTGATGAACATGGCGCAGAAATGGCTTACAAGAAAAGAGACACCAAACCATCAGTCTGCTTTGCTGGGATTACGGTGGTTTTCAGTGTTCTTTTTCTTGTTTGTAGTTTTCTGTGCTTCCTGTAACGAGCACCCACTACTCTTGGAAAAAGGAAAAAGAATAAAAGAGGAAGAAAAGAATAAGGGAAACAGTTGAATTAGGGATTGTTTCTGCAACACAGAAACCTGGCACTCGCTCTCCCTCAGGTGTACAGACTTTGCCTGACAGTCCATTTCTGGGGGCATCTCAGGTGAACAGTGAGGTCCTTGCAGAAATGTCCTGGGTCCCAGCCCTGCCAGGTAACCATGACACCAAAAGCCTCAATCCCAGTTTACCCCTCTTGTGCCATCCTAAGGGTCCTGGCAAATTTATGTTAAAATAAAATATTCATGCAAACTCTATTTAGTTTTGAGATCTCTGATGAGTTCTTTCTTTTTCCTTTTTCTCAAAGTGTTTATTCAATACTCTATTATTTTAGGGGATTTCTGATGAGTTCTTGTGATACGTTCTTTGAAGGTTTTAGTTATGTTTTTTCTCGGCAAGTTTTCACTGCTTATTTTTACAAGAAGACAGCTTAAAATGGGATTTCTTTTTACATAGGGATGAAAACAATTAAGATTATTTCAAAGTCTCTTCTGCCAGGGCTAACAATTCACTCATATTTTAGAGTCTATAAATATGCAGGGTATATTATTATCAACCGTTCTAACACAGGTCTGCTCTGAACTACAGTTCGTCTGCATAACGTCAGCTTGGCCAGTGATTGAGAACACAGCTGTGAGAGGCACCCACACCAGGGTTCTAATCCTAGCTGTACCCTCAACAGCCACGTGACCTTTGGAAAGAAGCAGGGTGACGCTGCATCTCAGCTTTGTACAGGGAGAGGATTATAAGTATCTACCTTACAACAGTCTGGGGCAGATTTCATCAGAGCAATTCCTGATAGACTGCCTGGCATATACCGCAAGCGGTAAAAATAAATTGCAGACGTTCTTACCCCTCTGGGTAGCAGTGATGTCTTATATTCGAGCAGTGACTTGCATGCTTCAAGGAGCTCTCAGATCTTTTACCTCATTTGAGTCTCAGGCAGCTCTATCAGCTCAAAACGTTACTGTCCCCGTTTTATCTTTTTCGTAAACAGATGAGGAAACTGAGGCTCAAGGTCACAGAGCTTAGAAAGCAGCTCCAGGCCTCTTTTTGCTCAGGTCTCGACTGACCCTCAAAAGACTTCATGTGCCATGCCTGAACTTAATAAGATTAAATTTCCTTTAAAAAAAACTCCGCTATTCATACTTTAATCAAATCAAACTGGTTTTTCTACACCACTCCAAATTAATTAGGTTTTGCTTAGTGAAAAGAGCAACTGAGGTGATTATTTAGAGCTTACTGTGTATCTCAGCTCTGGGCTGGGGGTTCGAAATCGAGGCTCAGAGACGTTAAAGGACTTGTCAAAGTTGCCCGGCCCTCTTCTGACGCAGCAAGGACACATACTCCCTGACTCCAAACCTCATTCCCTTCCCAAGTCTCAAATTCCTTTGCATGTATTTTAAAAGTGAGGATGGTAGGAGACGTCCTGCCGTTCCTGAAAAGCAACTGTGCACTTAATGGCCTAAGTGTCAACCCTCAGTGTAGACAGCGTGACCCGTACTCGGGGCGGTGGAAGCGGAGGGATCGCTCCGAGCCGGGCGTAGGCGTCACTACTGCCAAGGAAACGCGAGGTGAAACTGCTCGCCGAGCGGCCACTTGGGGCGGTGCCAGCACCAAGTTCCTCAACCCACCCCAACCTCCAGGTCCCCGATGCGGTGGAAGCCGAGACTCGGCCCGGGGTCGGGCCGCGGTCTCGGCACCGGGCGCCCGGGCGTCCCCTGTCCCGCGACTGCGCGGGTGAGGGCGCACGGCGACCCGAGGTTCGGGCGGCGCGGTCCCCGGGCTCATCCAAACCCGAGCGCGCCCCGGCCGCCTTCCTCGGCCACCGGGACCCGCCCGGGCGGGTCCGACCGGCGCTGCTGCCAAAACTGCGGCTCCCGGGATCTCAGCACGGTCTTCGGGGAGGACCCGGCGCGACGTCGACCCCAGCGCGGCGCGCCACGCGCCCTGTCTCAGTTTCCCTCACCTCACAAGGATGCATAAACCCAAGATGTTAACAGCGGCGCAGCCCGGACCTGCACGATTTCCAGACGTTACAGCGCACCCTCCTCGCCGGACCCCCGCCCCGACCCGCCGGGCCGCCGTGACAGCACCCCTACCTGCGCGGTGGCCCCCGCCGCCACCGGCCGGGGCGCCCTGGGGACCCCCGCCCAGCATGGGCCCCGCCGGTTCCTCACGCTCCGCCTCCTCCGCCTCCAGCTCCGCGGCGGCCGGCGGGCTCCGTGCGCCCCGAGGCCCGCGGCGGGGGAAGCGAGCGGCCGCGCCGGACGGGAAGTGGGGAGGGGGCTGGCGAGGAAGGGGAGGCTCCTTCCTCCTCACGGGCCGCGCGGGCGGTTTCCTCCCCAGCCTCGGCCCCGTCGCGCGCGCGCGCGCGCGCACACACACACAGACACACACACGCACACACACATACGCACACAGCACGCGCACACACGCACGCACACACACATACGCACACAAGCACGCACACGCACACACGCACACGCGAGAGGTTGGGGCCGGCGGGCCCACAGCCTGCGTCCCGGACCTCGGGAAGTTTGCTTTTCGCTCTCGCCCGTTTGCTGGACGAAAGCGAGAGGGGAAGTGCGGTGGGGAGAACGGGTGGTTCGGAGAAGGAGAAACTGGGAGGCCTTCCTGGGGCGGGGGGCGGGGCGGGTCTACGAGGGTGCCTCGCAGACACTAATTAGGGAAGTGACCAAAGGGTTGATGGAAGAGATGGAGGGGAGGAGAGGGGCGGGGGGAGGAGAACGAGGGGAGACGACAGACCACACCGGGAAAGAGGGGGGCGAGCAGTTCAACATGAAATGAGGGTCCAACTATTTGAATCTTCTGGCAGCACTGGACTGGTCCCAGATCCCCCTCTCCACTTGGGGCAGCCATCCCAGGACACAGCTGCGATCCGTGCCGAGCTCGAGTCCCTTCACTCTTTGGTTCCTTCAAGGGGGATCCTGGAGCATCGCTGACGCCGCACCTGTCAGACACGGTTCTTGCCCTTAAGGGGCTCCCCTCCAGCAGGGAAGAGAAATACGTGCGTATAAAACTAAATAACAACATGCAGTGGAATATGCCACGAGCCAGAGGTTTGACACAAAACATTGCAGAAGATGGGGGTAAGAGGGAGTGTCGTGAAGAAGGATCGGAAAGGCTGTCTGGAGGAAGGGAAAGGATCCTGCTAGAACTACAGGAGGGTCAAGGTCCTTCACGAAATAAGAACCGTGTGGGTGAAAACACCTGGACGTGCTTAGGAGTCGGAGAATTGTGGGACGGAATGAATATGAGCGTGGATGTGAAGCATGTGGGAAGATGGTGGAAGGAACAAAGAAGTTGGATCAAGCTGAATTTAACTGTGTAGACCACGAAGCAGAGATCTGGACTCAGTGCTGTGGTTTGAGAGATTAGAAAAAAGCTGTTTGTTTAGCTAGTTGACAGAAACGTGGGGCAAGAGGTGACCTACACTAAATGAAGTGGAAATGCCAGAACTGCTCTGGTATACTGGAAAGGCATTATCTAAAGGCTTAGGGAGGTGGCAGTATTAGAGCGGATTTATCACATATGACCTGCTTACTCACTCCGAGAGGGTCCACAGGGCACACCGTTCACCGTGACCCTGAAAAATAACTCTGTGACCCAGCATCGTTGGTCACCTCTTCTCTGTAGGTCAGAAATTATAGTGGGAACTATGCCACTGCAGTGTGGGTCCTTAAACGCAGTGAGGATAATTGGACCCCAGGGTAGCTGGGGTCACATGGTGGCAATGAATCACCAAAGGCAGGGTGGGCATGGTTTCTGTAATGGACGGCAGAGTCAAAGCAGCAACTGGAATACTCTGACCGCCACAAAACTATGGCATTGGCCGGTTAATCATGGGGTTCTTCGATGAGAATGCTACTAAGTTCTTATTTGATCTATATGAGCAGAAAAGTTCTAGGTCAAGGGAACAAAAGCCGAATTTTAATTATCAAAACAGAGAGACTCCATCAATTCCCAGACTTGCATCAGTTTGCAGACCCAAAACTCCTTGAACGAAAGAGATGTCTGTCTCTTCCAGGAAAGACCTCGCAGCGCTGCCAAAAATATATATACTGTTAATCTTTCTTCAGCCTTCCCCAAAGGGACATAGGGCCTTTTACTCGGGTGACTGTGCACCGGGAGAAAGGAAGTAATCAGACTTTTCAGGAATTACTGGACACTGGCCCTGAACTGACCCTGAGTCCAGGAGACCCAGAACATCATTGCAGTCCACTAGTCCAAGTAGGGGCCTATGGAGGTCAATGGAGTTTTGGCTCAGGTCCGTCTCCTGGGGGGTCTCTGCACTCATCCTGGGGTTATTTCTCCAGTTTTGGAATGCATCATTAGAATGATACTCGGCAATTGGCAGGATCCCCACAATGGCTCTGGGGCCTGTGGAGTGAGGGCTGTTTTGGTAGGAAAGGCCAAGTGGAAGCCACCACAACCTGCCTCTGCCTTCGAAAAGAGTTAACCAAAGGCAAGGCTGCATTCGTGGAAAGATCGCCGAGATCAGTACCTCCATCAAGGACTCGAAAGGTGCAGAGGTGGTGATTCCCAGCACCTCTCCATTCAACATGCCCACGTGGCCTGTGCAGAAGGCAGATGGGTCTTGGAGAATGACAGTGGATTATCATAAACTGAAGCACATGCTGCCTCCCCTTGCAGCTGCTGTACCAGCTGCAACATCACTGTTTAAGCAAATTCATACATCGGCTAGTATCTGGTATGCAGCTCTTGGTCTGGGAAACGTTTTTTCTCCATACCTGTTAGTAAAGACCACCAGGGCAGCTTTCTTTCAGCTGGCAAAACCAGCGGTGCAGCGAAGACTGCCCTACCTCAGGGATAGATCAGTTCTCCAGCCCTACATCATCGTTTGGTCAAGCAGGCACCCTATCGCCTTTCTCTTCCGGAAGACTTCACACTGGTCAATTCCATTGATGATGTTACGCCGATTGGACCTAGTGAGTGGGAAAGACTAGCTATTCTAGGCTTATCGGTGAGACATTTGTACGCCAGAGCGTGGAAGATAAATCTGACAGAAATTCTAGAGCCTTCCATCTCAGTGGGATTTTTAGAGGTCCGGTGGTATAGGTGAAGGATAAGTTGTTGTATTTGGCCCTTCCTATGACCGGAAAAGAGACACAACACCCAATGGCCCTCACTGGGTTTGGGAAGCAAAATATTCCTTATTTGGGGGTACTACTCAAGTCCATTTACCAAGTGACCTGAAAAGCTGCCAGTTTTGAGTGGAGCCCAGAACAGAAGAAGACTCTGCACCACGTCCGGGCTGCCCTGTGAGCTGCCCTCTGCCATCTGAGCCACACGATCCCACAGATCCAGTGGTCAGTGGTGGTAGCTTCTGGCGGAGGCTGGGTCAGACCCCTATGGGAGGGTCACATCACAGACCCTGAAGATTACAGAGCAGAGCCCTGCCATCCTCTGTGGATAAGTATTCTCATTTTGAGAAACAGCCTTTTACTTACGGCTGGGCCTTAGTACTAACTGAACGTTTAACCGATGTGGGCCACCACATCGCCGTGCAAGCTGAGCTACCCTTCGTGAACTGGGTGCCGTCCGACCCACAGGCACGAATCTGGGCACGCACAGCAGCACTCCATCATCAGATGGAAGTGGTACATGTGAGATGCGGCTCAAGCAGACCTGGAAGGCACAAGTAAGTTACGTGAGGAAGCGGCCCAAACGCCCAGCGTCCGCACACCTGCTACGCTACCTTCCCTCTCACAGCCTGCACCTGCGGCCTCATGGCCAGCTCCCTAGGATCGGCTGACTGAGGACGAGAATACGTGGGCCTACTTTGCAGATGGTCCTGCATAGTATTCAGGTACCACCCAAAAGTAGACAGCAGCTGTAGCACAGCCCCTTCTGGGATATCCCCGAAGGACAGCGGTGAAGGAAAATCCACCCAGTGGGCAGACCTCTGAGCAGTGAACCTTGTTGTTCAGTTTGCTTGAAAGGAGAAACGACCAGAAGAACAAGTATATGCCAATTCAGGGACTGTGGCCAATGGTTTGGCTGGATGGTCAGGGATTTGAAAGGAACATGATTGGAAAATTGGTGACCAGGAGATCTGAGGAAGAGGTATACAGATAGACCTCTCTGAATGGGCAAGAAACTCGAAGATACTGTGTCTCAAATAGATGCCCTGGTCTCAACAGAGGAGGATTGTAATCCTCAAGTGGACAGGATGACGCCGTGCTGTGGGTACCAGTCAGCCTCCTTCTCCAGCTACGCTTGACATTGTCTAATAGGCTGGTGAGCAAAGCGGTCGTGGTGGCAGGGCTGGAAGTTATCCGTGAGCTCAGCCATACAGACTTCCACTCACCAAGGCCAACCTGACCACGGCCACCGCTGAGGGTCCAAGCTGCCAGCATCAGGACCGACAACATGGCAGCCTTCCCCAGGGTGATCAGCCCGTTTGCTACTTGGTGGCAGGTTGATTACGTTAGACCGCTTCCATCATGGGAGGGCCAGCATTTTGTTCTTACTGGAGTAGATAATTACACTGAATACAGATTTCCCTTTCCTGAACACAATGCTTCTCCTGAAACTACCATCCGTGGACTCATAAAGTGCCTTATCCACACAGCATGGCTTCTGATCAAGGAACTCACTTCACAGCAAATGAAGTGCGGCAGTGGACCCACACTCACAGAATTCACTAGTCTAGCCGTGTTCCCTATCATCCTGACGCAGCTGGCTTGACAGAACAATGGAACGGCCCTTTGAAGACTCAGTTACAGCACCACTAGGTAGCAGTACCTTGCAGATCTGAGCAAGATTCTCCAGGAAGCTCTCTGTGGGTGCTCTGAATCAGTGTCCAATATACGGTGCTGTTTCTCCCATGGCCAGATTCATGGGTCCAAAGAATCAAGGGATGGAAATGGGAGTGGCATCTCTCACTATTAGCCTTAGTGATCCACTAGCAAAAGTTTTGCCTTCTATTCCCACAACCTTATGTTCAGCTGGCCTAGAGGTGTTAGTTCTGAAGGGGGGAATGGTTTCACCAAGAAAAGCAACAATTATGCCATTTAACTGGAAGTTAAGATTGCCACCTGATCTGCAGCAACATGGAAGGACATAGAGAATATTATGCTTAGTGAAATAAGTCAGAGACAGACAAATACTGTATGATATCACTTACTTGTGGAATCTAAAAAATAAATGAATGTAGATAGCAAAAAAGAAATATGGCATTAAGAGATACAAACTACTATGTTTAAATTAGATAAGCAAGGGCTTCCCTGGTGGCACAGTGGTTGGGAGTCCGCCTGCCGACGCAGGGGATGCGGGTTCGTGCCCCAGTCCGGGAAGATCCCACATGCCGCGGAGCGACGGGGCCCGTGAGCCATGGTCACTGAGCCTGCGCGTCCGGAGCCTGTGCTCCGCA